CCCCCCCCCCCCCGCCGAAGGAGGCGTCTGAGAGCAAAAGGCCCAGAAGTCTCGGGGCCCTCGGGGAGGCGGAGGCAGACGGCTTGTCGGAGACGCAGCCCGCACCCCTGGATCCGACCGTGTCTGGAGCCAGCCTGCCCGGGGGTTTCTGCGCCACCCGCCGGGTCGGTCCCTGGCTTAAGCCAGGGTGGGCCAGCCTTGGGCCCTCGCGAGGGACGGCCTGGCCGTGCAGGCCGGCCGGGGGCAGCCCCACCTTCTGCAGCTCCAGGCGGTTGTCCTCCTGGATCCTCTTGTTGCGCTCCTTGAGCTCCTTCTCCTCCAGGTGGCCGATCCCTTTCTTCTCCAGGGCCTGGAAGGGCCAAGCACATGCCCGCTGAGCAGAGGCGCCCCCGTCCCGCCCTCCCGGGCACCGCCCCGGGGTCCCCCGTGCCGCCCTCTCCAAGATCCAGACGCGAATCCGGCAGGCCGAGCGGCGGCTTTGCAGGGAAGGGGGTCCGGCCCCCCGAGGAGCGACGTGCCTGCGGCCACAGCGCCCCGACTTCCTCCGAAGACGCAGCCCCCTTGGCGCGCCCAGGACCAGCGTGACAGGGCCGCTCAGAGCAGCCTCCTGCACGGGCAGCACCTGCAGTAACGTGCAGCGGGCGGGGAGGTGGCCGCCCGCCCCGGGGGGCTCCCGAGCGTCACTCACGGGAGCACCCCACCCGGGACCTGCCAGGCTGCCGCACGCAGATGCCCGGCTGGGCCAGCTCGGGGTGCTCACGCCCTCGGCAGGCCCGACGCCCGATGCGAGCGGGCAGGGGCGGGACAGCGCGGGAAAGCCCGCGTCGCTAGGAGGGGCACTGCGGTCCCCGTGCTCACAGACCCCTGGGACACCACGCCCCACAACAAACACTCGTTCCCTGTGTCCTCACCTCCTGGAGGGCGCTCGGGGCGCAGGGTCTGCAGACCCCTCGAGGACTCCGACATCACAGCTGCTGCCCTAGCCGGGTGCCAAGCCCACACTTCCGGATGAGCGCTCCCCCGCCGACCCGGCTCTGAGGGATGTTCGAGGACGCCCCTGCCAGCCCCCCCACACACACACCTGCGCTGCCTGGTTTGGGGCCACCCCTTGATGCCTGTGCCACCCCCTGGCCTCCCCAGCCTCAGCCTGGGCTGCCGCCTCAGGCGTTAACGGTGACCGGACTTCTCACCCCTATGGCCACGCAGAACGGCAGCCCAGGGCACGGACGTGAAGCTGGATGGCCCGGTTCCAATCATGCTCCGTCACTCACCGCGGGAGACCTCGGGCGGCCGCGGCAGGGAGAGTCGGCTGACGGAGAGCGCTGTGAGCAAGGCCGGGCACAGAGCGCGTGCTGATGCTCGGCACCGCGCCTGCCCACTCCGCCAGCCGGTGGCCCCGGGACGGGGGGGACAAGCGCGTGGTGCTGCCCAAACCGTGGGCCTGTCCGGAGAGGCCTCAGAGGCTGAGCGGGGGCCGACTCCCCACGTGCTTGTCACAGGAGGGGCCGATGGCCTCCCGTGGGGCCAACTCCCCAGGGCCGCTGCGGCTCCAAGAAACACTAGGGAAAATGTCTGAGCACACGCGCGTGCAAATCACACCAAGCTCGCTCATTTGACGCTCACTGAGTGCCGACCGTGAGCCAGGCTCTGGGGACACAGCTTGCCCTGTGGAGCTCACGGCCTGGCAGGAATCACACATTATGGATCATATCCCGTGTTTAGATGTCAGCTTTGCAACGAGACTTCTCTGGGCCCGCTAATTTTATTTTTGGATGAGCGAGCGCAAATGGGGGAGAGGGGTTGGGGAGGAGGAGGGAGGGAGGAGGGAGGGAGAGAGAGAATCTCAAGCGAGCTCCACGCTCAGGGCAGAGGCCTACTTGGGGCTCGATCTCACGACTGTGAAATCATGACCTGGGTCGAAATCAGGAGTCGGGCGCTCAACCAGCTGACCTACGCAGGTGCCTCATGGCTTGACTTACCCTACTTTTATTTATTTATTTTTTTAAATTTATTTTTGGGACAGAGAGAGACAGAGCATGAACGGGGGTGGGGCAGAGAGAGAGAGGGAGACACAGAATCGGAAACAGGCTCCAGGCTCTGAGCCGTCAGCCCAGAGCCCGACGCGGGGCTTGAACTCACGGACCGCGAGATCGTGACCTGGCTGAAGTCGGACGCTTAACCGACTGCGCCACCCAGGCGCCCCAATTACCCTACTTTTAATGTTTATTTATTTTATGTTTGAGGGGGAGAGAGAGAGGGGGAGAGAGAGGAAGGGAATGCACGCTCACGAGTTGGGAGAGGCAGAGGGAGAGGAAGACACAGGACAGCAGAGAGTCCGACGCGGGGCTTGAACTCACGAACTCACAAGCCGTGAGATCGTGACCTGAGCTGAAGTTAGACGCTCAACCGCCTGAGCCCCCCACGCGCCCCGGACTGGCTGATTTCAAACTACAGCCAGGGCATCCCGACACCTGCCTGCCTTCTCTCCTCTGCGCGCTCTGCTAATCTGCTTCTCGACAGGCTCTCCCCCACGAGACGGCTGGCTCCGCGGAGACCTCTCTCCTGCTCGCTGACGCCCGCCAGGGCCCACACGGCCTCCAGCACCAGCGGGCGCACGGCACACGTTTGCTAGTAAAGCGCTAGGGAGGGCGAGGCCGCGCCGAGAGGAAGAGCACCCGTGGGGCCGAGGGGGCCGGGCAGGCCCTCAGAGGCGGGAACGGGTGAGCTGAGATCCTCAGGAAGGAGAAAGAACCAGCCAGAGAAAGAGGTGGGGAGGGTCCCAGGTCGGGGAATGGCGAGCACAGGCGCCCCGAGGTGGGCTGTGTGTTCAAGACAAAGGCAAGAGACGGTGCCTGGAGCGCATGCGGTGAGCAGCGGACCCCTGGCATCTGACCGTGGCCGCCTGCTCTCGCCCCCCCAGGCCTTCCCTGCCCCCTCTCACCCCCCACGACGAATGGGTGCTGGGTTAGCGTGAAGCTGTGTCCAAAAAGATCCGTCCATTCACCAGTCCGGGAACCCGTGGAGATCTTTAAAACGGGGTCTCTGCGGGTGTAATTAGTTAAGACGAGGTCACATGGGACCTAAACAGTCTCCAAGCTGATGACTGGTGTCCTTGGAAGAAGGCAGAAAGCGGGACACAGAGGCACAGGGCGCAGAGGCGCAGCCTCCGGGGCTGGGAGGGAGGGAACGCCCGTGCTCTCAGTCACAAGCGCGAGGCGGGACTGGCGGGTAAGGGATCATGTGTAACTTTCGTCGAGAACGAGGTGTTGGCGACGGGGACCACGGAGCATCTGTAACCGGAATCCCGCCTTGGGCGAGCGACGCAAAGGCCCCAGAGGCCGGGGCTCGTGAGCGCGCGTGCGGACGGAAGACACCCCTGAGGGCAGCGACCCACCCGGGCCGCGCGCCGGGCACCGCCCCGGACTCACCTTGTTCCAGATGAAGGTGCCCAGGAGATTGTTGTCGCCGAAAGGGTTGTCGGTGTTGGTGTAGCCCATGTACTCCTCCCCCCAGCCCATCTTCTCCCGCTTCTTCCTCTCCTTGGCCTCCTTCTTGGCCAGCCGCCGGGCCCGCTTCTCCTCGGGGGTCTCGAAGGCCTTCATCAACTCCTCCTGCTGCTTCCGCTCCTCCCGCAGCCGCAGCCGCTCCTGCAGGCTGTGCTGGTGGCTCAGGGCCGCCGCCGCCTCCCGAGGGCTCTGGGAGCGGTCCGGGGAGGCCGAGCCGGACGCCGAGGAGCCCGGGGACCAAGAGCGCGTCCGCCGCCGGCGGGCCCACCGGCCCCGCTGCTGCTCCTGGCGCTCGTCATCGGAGTCAGACTGGGAGGACCGGCCCCGTGAGCGCCAGCGTGGGGGCAGCGGACTCTGGCTCTGCCGCCTTCGCCGCCGCCACCGGTGGTGTTCGTCCGAACCCGACCTGGGGAGGGAACCCGCAAAGGTGCGCTCGCTGCCAGTCTTTTGTTCGACAGATGTTCACTGAGCACCTGCTCTGCCAGGCGCTGTTCTAGGTTCTGGGGACACAGCGGTGACCAGCAGTGCCACCCACGGTCCCCGCCTTTGGGAGGCTCACGTCAACAGATAAACACGCAGCGTGACCCTAGGCAGTGCTACGAGTCACAAAGAAGAGTGACTGAGCGTTAGTGGATGGAGATCTGAGGAGGCAACTGGACGATGTGGGGGAGGGGGCTACAGGGAGAAAGTGATCTGGGCAGCAGTCACAGCAAGAGCAAAGGCCCTGGGGCAGGAATTTACTCGGCGTGTAAAGAAGCAGCGTGGAGGCCCATGTGGCTGCAGAAGAGCGTGAACGGGGGGAGGGAGGAAGGAAGGGAGGGCAGCGAGGCAGGCTGGGGCCAGACGGCACAGAAGCTCTAAGTGGAGGAACCAGAGGACTTGATGTGTCCAAGGCGACAAGAGAGAGCTTACAGGAGAAGGTGGTGTCTACACTGGTCCCGCAAGCTGGGCGAGAGGGAACTGGAGTAAGCGTCTCGGGACTGAAGAGCCAGGGAAAAACACCGGGCAGGGGATGGAATGTGCGAGCCCTAGAGATAGATTCTTTAATGCTCAGGGCCCCTTGAACGTGTACAGCAACAACCAAATCTCTTTATTTTGTCAAATGCCCCACCTATGAAGCTCGGTGAAAAAGCCTACGCCCTGGAAACCAATTTCTCGGGAGTCCCTACACGCAGACTACGCATTCGGTCAAATTTTCATAAACCACATCGACTCGACTTACAGACCTAGGACGGCTGGTTCTTGCAACTCAAACACCAGAAGACAGCAAACGAAAAACATGCAGGCATGACAAGGCTTCCTGCTGTACGTGAACCAGTGGGGAAAACACCAACACCAGGGACCCCAACCAGGGTCAGCAAGCTTTCTCTGTAAAGAGCCAGACGGTCTGGGACACCACTGTCCTGTCCCTACTGCAGAAGCAGCCCCGCACAGACAGGAACAAAGGGACACGGCTGGGTCCCAATACACTTTCACTTGTGCACGCCAAAACCTGAATATATTCGGAGACCTCATCCAATTTCCACATGTCATGAGATACTACTTTTGACTTCTTCCTCACCATTTCAATACGTAAAAACTGGGGCGCCTGGGTGGCTCAGTCAGTTAAGCGTCCGACTTCGGCTCAGGTCATGATCTCACCATTCCTGGGTTCGAGCCCCACATCGGGCTCTGTGCTGACAGCTCGGAGCCTGGAGCCTGCTTCCGATTCTGTGTCTCCCTCTCTTCCTGCCCCTCCCCTGCTCGCCCTTTGTCTGTCTGTCTGTCTCTCTCTCTCTCTCAACAATAAACATTAAAGAAAAAAAATAATAAAAACGTAAAAACTATTCTTGGTTCACAGGCTATGGAGTCTTGGAGTCACAGGCTTGTAACTTTTTGGAATTCCTGGGTTGCAATGATCTTAGGAGACTCAAAAAAGGAAAAACCACCTTCTCAAATGTAGAGGGAAATCAACCATGTCTGATTACAGCCACTCTGGCCATGGGGTGAACGGGCCCAAGGGACGGGAGACTGGGCATGCTGGGAAAGCCCCCATGGAGATCTTGAGGAAACTTGGGCCACAGTGGGGCAGGGACTGGCCTGAACGTCACGGGTCACATCCCGGGACCTAGGTCTGGAAGTTGGTCCCTGGCACCGTTCTCGTCCCTCTATGCGGGAGGAGACTCCAGTCAAATGTGGACAGGTGTCCCATTTCCAAAAGAAAGGGGCTGCTGGCCGCGTGGAAGCTGAGACCCAGGTCCTAGGAGTCAACCCAGTCCTGCCTCCTGCCATCAACAGTTCTTTCGTCTGACACCCACTTCCAACAGCAAGTGTTGCCGCCCCGACTCATGAAATCCCTCTCAGACCTACCCATTTCCCCACCGAGCCTCCCACTGCCTCCTCTCTGACAGCCACCGCCGTCTGTTGCCTAGACAACTGCACCATCCTCCTCCTCCTCCCCCTCCCCGTTGTCATTCCAGCCAGCCTCCTCAGTCCCTTTTCCACGCGAAAACCGGAGGAAGTTCCACAAAGTCAGTCAGACCCCATCGCTCTGCTCAAAAACCTCCCCATGGCTCCCTACCTGCCTCCGAGGAACGGCCAACCCCGTCACCACGGCACACAAAACCGCACGATCCGGTCTCCTCTTACCGCTCCGACCTCGTCTCCTACTCCCCTTCCCGTCCCGCCTCGCTCGCTGCGCTCCTTCCGTTCCCTCCAACCACCAGGTGCCCTGCCTGGAACGCCGCTCGCCTTCCTTTCGCTGCCTGGTGAACTGCGACTCGTACTCGGACGTCCCCTTCTCCAGGGAGCCCTCTCTGACTAATCCGTGGGTCTCTGGCTCCCCGAGGGCGGGAGCCGGATCCCCAGCGCTGTTCACGCAGAGACCCCCACCTGCGCTCCCGGCTCTGCCGCCTCCGCCTGCGCCGTACTTCGTCGTCCCGGCGCCGGCGGTCTCGCCGCTCATGGCTCCCGCTCCGACTTCGGCTCCGACTCCCGCTCCGTTGCCTGCGGCCCCTGCGACCAGCCGACCGCGAGCGCGAGCGTGTGTCCCGACCCATCAGCTGAGACGGTGGCGGCAGCGCTGACACAAATATCCGGGGCCTGCGCCGGGGGCCTTCTTCCCCTGCGGCGCGCGCCTGGCTGCCCCGTCCGCGCCTGAGCCGGGAGATGGAAACCTATCTCGCCGCCCCATCCCGCGGGGACTCCGACTCCCCGTAACTTCCCCACTGCCAACAAACGTGGCCCGCGTGACGGACTTCTGCCGGACTTTCGTCTCCGGGGTTGGGGGCTCGCCTTTTAGGCAGTGCTACGGGTAGCCCCACGTGGGTCCTCGCGCCTTGGTGGGGGGCGGGGTTAGGAGCCGTGGGCGGAGCCAGAGCGAACCAGGAACTGCGAGCGGGGCGGAGCCTGGGGAGGCGGGACCAAGAACAATGGGCTCCGAGGGAAAGTGGGGCCGACGTGGGCGGGGCCCCCAGGGAGGGATCAAGAGGAGGCGTGGTCTGGGGGCGGGGCCAGGGGAGGCCAGCCACGCTAGCGAGGTCTCAAGCCGGTGCGGGCGTGAAGCTGCGAGGTCGTCGGTTGAGTCCAGACTGCTCCGGAAGGCGACGAACTGAAGCCAGGTCGGAGAATGAAGAGCCTTGAGGCTGGGCCGACCCTTGAGAGCGACCATCATTTTCTATCGCTCGAAATGAATACCTGTGTGTTTCAAGGGTTAAGTTAAACAAAAAGAAAAACTTGGATAACTCCACGAATTAACCGTCAACCCATTTTACGGACAGTGAAACTGGGGCTCAGAGATGGAAAGTCACTTCAATAAACAGTGCCCCCACAGCCCCAACGAGGCAACAGGGAGCTGGGATCTGAACTAGGTTGGTGCAGCTTTGTTCTGTGGGTGCCGGGGTGTCACAGGAGGGCTCTGAGCAGGGACAGATGGGCTGGGGGCGGGGGGCACGCTGGTGCAGTCCCTGCTGGACTCGTGAGGAGGTTGGACCACAGCAGGCAGGTCCTGAAGACCCTGAAGTCCTGTTCCAAGCTCCCCCAGCCCACCCCAGAGGATGGTCCTTGATATTCTAGTTCGAAGCTCTTCAAATGTTTGTCTTGGAGTACTTCATGACATCGTCCTAAATGCTAGCTTTGCATGCTCTGCTTGGAGCCAAGGCGCAGAGTGGGGCTGCTGGTGGGGAGGACTTTCAGAAGACCACCTCTTGATAACAAACCTGCTTTTCATGGGATGTGGACTAAGGTGGGGGGGGGGTCTGGCCTTGTAACTTTGTTTTTTTAATTTTTTTTAACATTTATTTATTATTGAGAGACAGAGCATGAAGAGGGGAGGGGCAGAGAGAGAAGGAGACACAGAATCCAAAGCAGGTTCCAGGCTCCGAGCTGTCAGCACAGAGCCCGACGCGGGGCTCGAACTCACAAACCAAGAGATCATGACCTGGGCTGAAGTCCGATGCTTAACCAACTGAGCCACCCAGGCGCCCCTGGCCTTGTAATTTCAAAATGCACATGTATCTTTGACAGTATCTGAATACTAATCTTTGAACATGACGTGATGGTGAGCACGTTCCAGATCATCTCATCTGCACGTCTAGTTTATAAACGAGCTGAGCCGTTCTGCATCCTGATTTTAAAACTGGATTTCCAAGGTCCTGCTTACAAATGGGACCTTTCAAAGCAGTGTTTCTTGGATTGGAAATCCTGGACAAATACTTTTGCTATAAAAGGGGTCAACTTGAGCAAGTTTGGCAGAACGAATACAAACTCTGGGGAGTGTTTGGTCTTTTATACCGGGCTGCACTGATGTCAGAAAATTATACAAGTTTTCTGAGTTGAACTGGAACCCCAAGCAGGCCACGGCTATTAAGGCATCTAGGTCCTGTTGTTATTTAAAACAAAATTTTTTAAATGTTTATTTATTTTTGAGACACAGAGTGCTACGAGGGGAGGGGCACAGAGGGAGACACAGAATTGGAAACAGGCTCCAGGCTCTGAGCCATCAGCCCAGAGCCCGACGCGGGGCTCGAACTCACGGACCGCGAGATCGTGACCTGGCTAAAGTCGGACGCTTAACCGACTGCGCCACCCAGGCGCCCCTGGTTCCTGTTATTTTAAATCTTACCAAGGTTTCCTTCTGCTCTCGTTCAAAGTCAGTCCTCACGTTCTCAAGCAGACCACCGGCACGCACAGAGGCAAAGAGAACAAGGGCTGATGCTTATTACCCGATTTATTAGAGAGATCTCTCCAACGTAAAAAGAAGGAAGGGTGGCGGGGATGGGGAGCGGGGGCCCAGGGCTGCATATGTTATTTGGGGCCAGCAGCGGCTGCACAGTTACAGAGGTGCCCACGGCTCTGGGTTTGAGCGAGACGGCATTCTGTGCCCGATGAGGCCGCGCTCCAGATTGTCACACACCAGACCATAGGGGCTGAGCACACGGAACCCCCTGAGAGAATTAAGACACACGAGGTTTGCAGTTTCGTTGTTTTGAAATCAGTTCGACCATAAAAACGAGATGGGGGCGGGGCAGGCGATGCAACTGAGCCGCCAGAGAAAAGGTGGTGGAGGGCGTTGACCCGCAGTGCGGACCCAGGGGCTGCAGCGACAGTACCATGGCAAGGGACCCCAACCGGAAGGGGAGTATTGCACTGAGCCAAGTGGTGGAGGGAGGGGGCGAGGCTGGACAGAGGCCAGCGAGGGCTCTCAGGAAGTTGCACCTAGACAGTCTCAGGAAATGCCTTTCTTTTGCACAGACTGCCAGCCAGCGCTCAGGCTCTCAGCTCTCAGGGACTGCAGCCATCAGAGATGAGCCAGGAGGGGAGACAGGGTGTCGCCACGAAGGAATTTAGATTCCTGTGCTGGGGGTGGGGGGGTGGGTGACAGCTGGCTGGGTCCAGAGCCTTCCTCTGGGTGGGGGTGGGAGCTGGGAAAGGCCATGAATTTGCTACACATTATAAATAAAGTCTTGCCTTCCTGCCCCCTGCCCGGAAAGTAAGCAAACCCCTCCCATCGGCACAGTCTGCAGGCCACACTAGCATCCACGTGACAGTTCTCTGAAAAGGGACAAAGGATGCAACCAGCACAAAACAGGTCTCCAAGGGGGTCTTAGTGACCTGCACAAGAATAGAAACGTCATGATATCCAGGAGGCTTGCAAACTTCTCTTGTATCAGCATCCCAGCAATGCCTTTGTCCCGTGATTCAGGAAAGCCCAAGGGGGCCAGCAGGGCTTCCCCGCTCCCTCCTGAAGCTCCAGGTGGCTGAGCGCGCCCTGGACACGGGGCGCGCTGCTCCGGGACAGTGCCTGCTGATCTGGTCATCCCCGCAGAACTCACATCCGTGCCCGGGCACGGGCTCTGACACCGGCTTCCGGGTGACACAGTGGTCCTTGTTAGTCATCAAGGTCTGAGATGCACCTTCGGACCTCTGTCTGCTCCGCCGTCATCCCCTTGATGGGAAGGGGTAGGGATGGACCGGCGACTTGTGGCATGCAGCCAGGGGACCTGCAGACAGATGCTGGTCTGAAATCCAGGTGAGGACGCTTCCCAGGATCTGGACAAAGGCTCCTTGGGCAAGAGGGAGACGACATAGTTTTGCTTCTAATCTGGGACACCCACGGGCTTGTTCCGACGGGTCGTCTGAGGGCTGTCTTCCCTGGGCTGCATGCTGGCACGTCCCGGGAGCCCCTGTGCCAGCAGCTAGGGGACAGCCCCCAGCATGCAACCTGGTTCTCCAGGGAGGAGCGGACAGCAGCCAGGCCAGCAGGCTCCCTCCAGGTGCACAAAGCGAGCCGGGTGAGGGGACACGAGGGCAGACGAGGGATCCACACAGGGAACAGCAAACTATGCAGCTCCCAAGGGACTCGGAAAATCAAACTCCTGGATCAGCAGGTTCTCCACCAGGGAGGCCAGGGCTGGGAGAAATTCTTCCAGGTGAGGCTTCTGCTCCAAGCCAGCTCCCAGCTCTCCCAAGCGAGCGAGCCAGCCAGTGGGGGGCAGAGTGGGCAGGGGGAAGCCACCCCCACTGTGTCACCTTTCAAGAGGTGGGAGTGCATTTGTGTGGGGGCAGGACAGACCCTGCGATGCTGTCGGCTCCCACCGTCCCCTCTGGACACGATGGGGTCTCTGAGCCCGGAAGGGGCTGCCCCTGCTGAAGATGACAAACTAGAAAATTTTTGTTTTTCACGAAGAATTTCTTCTCTTTCTTCTAACTCACAGATGCATCGCTGTCTTAAAAAACAAACAAACAAACAAACAAACAAACACCCATCCCAGTCCTGGGGGGCCTGGAACCGGACAGCTGGGCAGCCTGACCATGGGGGGGACCCCTGTGCCAGGACGTGATCTCCGGAAGTCCCACGGCCTGGGGCCCAACGTCTCCCTTCGCTTGGGCCCCTCTTCTGGACAGTGAGCAGGCCGCGTGGGGACCACAGGGAAGCCCACCGTCCTGAGCTCTGGCGAGAGGGGCGGCCGCCGGCCATTCCTACTCACAGGTCGGCTGGCAGGCAGGTGGTGGGAAACAGATGCAGAGATTACAGGCATCAGCGGGGTGGAGAGCCCCCGCCCCCCAGACCACCGGTCGGCCACCCCCAAGGGCGGACGTCACGTGCCTGGCCGCAACACCTAGCCAGGGGGGCCCGTGGTCCCAGGCACCGGCGGGGCCTCCGTGGTCCTTCCCTCCTCGGCGCCCCGTCCAAGCGGAGAGGCGGAGCCTCGGAGTGTGGGTTTCAGCCTGGGTGACCGGCCCCCCTCAGAGGGCGCCAGGTCCCCGAAGCCAACTGGCCTCGTTCCCTCGGCGAGACACATTCAAGCACAGCGAAGAACCACAAGGTGCGGTGGGGTGCTTTCTCTTCTTTTCCCGTCACGTCCTTTTTTTTTTTTTTTTTTTTTTTTCCTTTTTTATCTTTTTCTAAAAAAGCACACGTGTGCTGCCGTCTTTGTGCAAAGAGTAAGGACCCAAAATAAATACATGATCGGACACTCGGGGAGGTTCACAGTCTCACAGGCGTAGGTAGTAGACGGGAGCTGGGGGCCGCGGCCGTCGTGGAGCGAGGTCCGGCGGGCGGGCGGGCGGGCGGCGCCTCCCGGAAGCAGCCAGGGCGGCAGCGAGCGCTCGGCTCTGGGTCGGTGACTGCATAGAAATTACTGCGAAAGGCAAGGGCGCGGGTGAGGACCCCCCCCCACCCCCCGCCCTGCCGCGAGGGCCCGAGACACCGGCCCCCTCCCGCCCCGGGCCTCCGTTTCCCCGTCTGTCCCGGGGCCCGAGAGGCCCCGGGCGTGGCGGGCCGGGGCGCACTTACTGTGTCGCTCTCGCCGTCGGAGGCTGGGTGGACCTGCGCGCTATAGTGCAGCGGGGAGTACACCCAGCTCCTCTCGTCGGCGGGCTGCAGGGCGGGCGGGCGCACGTGCAGGAAGGGCGCGCAGAAGAGCAGGGTGCGAGGAGGCGCGAGAGAGGCAGGCGAGAGGAAGGAAGAAACAGAAATAAAGGAGGCGGACCCCAACGCGGACGACGAGTAGGCGGCTCAGCCCCCAGCCCCACCCGGACGGCCCCCTCGGGCCGGCGGGGCCGAGCGGCGGCAGTGCGGGGTGGGCGGCAGGGAGCGGCGCGGTGCAAGGGTGGGGGGTGCAGGCAGGGCCCGGAGCAGCGGAGGGGAAGGGAGGGGCGTGGGGCGTGGCCTGTTTGCTGTCCCCTCCCCTCCTGCTCGGCCCCCCGCACCCTCGCCTCCGTCCTAGCCCCGCGGGCAGGGCTCCGGCCTCAGTCCTGCCTGCTGTTCGGCCAGTGGGGCCGCCAGCTGGGGCAGGGCCCTGGGGACCCTCTGCTGGGGGTCCCGGGTGATGTGGGCCGTCGGGGGTGGAGGGTGGAGGCTGTTTCCTCATGCCCCAAACGCACAGATAGCCGGGAGACACCCAGGCACGGGCCACCCAGACAGCAAGCAACACGGGCCCAGCCAGGGGGTGCGCTCTTCCGGCTGTGACGGGGAAGGGGGTCGCCATTCTGGGTCGGACTGGCGGGGAGGGCACGTGTGCCTTCAGCACCCACCCACACGTGTCCGTCCTGGGTCTGCTCCCACCACAAGAATCCTCCCCCCCCCCCGCCCCCCGCGTGGGTTTGGGTGGCCCCGCCCCCCCCCCCCCCCCCCCCAATTCTTCAGTGCCTGTAGACCTACCCCCTTGCCCCGCCTCTGCTGGGAGCAGTGGGCCTGAGCACGCACCTGCCCTGGCCACGCCCCCCTGGGCGTCCAGGGCCCCCAAACCCACGGGGGCCACAACCCAAAACGCCCCCAGACCTGCCCCTCCTGCGTCCGACCCCGACCACCAGCCTCGCCTCTACAAGGGGTGGCTTCTTCAGGGCCTCGTGAAGGACAAGCACCAGCGTGCGGCCTCTACGCTCTCTGGGTGAGCCCAGGCCCTCCCGCCCCACCTTGGGGCCCCCACTTCTGCCCACCTCACCCTGCCCCTCCTCCAAGCTCTTGCCGCGGGACCTGCCTCCACAGGCCAGACTCCCGGTACCCGAGGCACGGCCCGCCTCGGGACACCTCGGCCAGCTCATTCTTGCCCCAGCACTCGGCCCAGGGGCCCCTGGCCCAGGGACACGCCCCCTGAGGGCTGTCCGCTGGCGGATGGACTCGTGCAGGGGCGCACAGGCCCTGCGGCTGCTTACTGGTCACAGCACAACAAAAGCCGCTGCCTGCCTGGGAGTCCTCGCGCGGGTGGGGGGGGGGGGGGGGGGGGAGGGCGAGCCGCCGCCGCAGATAGACGTCAGGGTAGCTGCCCCTCTAGGGCAGAACGTGGGACAAGAGGGTCTGTGCCTGCACTCTGCAAAGAGCATGCCCGGGGAAGCGATGGTGGGCAGCAGGAAGCAGAACCCCGTGGTGACCCCACTCAAGTGGGGCCAAGGACACACGGTCCCCGGTTCTGCAGGCCCTCGGGCCTGACCCACCCATCTAGCCCTCACGCTCTTCCCTCTCCTCCCCGGTGCCCCCCACTGGCTTCTGCTGTGCCCCCCACGGAGCCCAGCCTTCCCTCTCCCACCTCCCCACACCCCGGTGATTCTAGGTCAGGGTCAACCCCTCTCCAGGCAGCCTTTGCAAAGCACTCCCCTGGGGGCCCTCGGGGCCTGCTCTTAGATCATCCTAGGGGTGTTGCATCCCTGACTCACGAGGACACAGCGCGGCAGGAAGGCCTGGGGATGCGGTTTCCACCTCTCGGGTTAGCTCAGTGCCGGCGACCAGGGATGCTCAGAGGCATTTGGGGCTGGGGGGTGTGAGCCTCTGAGGGTCCTCGTCTTGAGAACAGAAACTTACTTCAGGTACTCAACCTGTTCTGCCTGCTTGGAGCGCTGTGTGGCTCCGGGCAGGTTACCTGGCATCTCTGGGCCCTCATTTATTGCTCATGATGCCAATTATCAGGCACCGATGCTGGCACTGCTGCATGAGGTGCACATAGAGTCCCCAAGCCCATTACGTAGAGGAGGGTCCCCGAGACACAGGGGCTGCCTGGGAGCCTGGACCCAGATTTTATGTAAACCGTGGGCCCTCGTGGGCTTCCTGGGGAGCCGAGACCTTGGTCCCTCCACTGTGAAATGAGTATGGAAAGACCACCTCCTCTCTCCTGCAGCTAAGAGCCTGGCTTTGCGGTCCCTTTGCTGACCCATGTGACCACCTGCTTCCACAGGGCAGACGCCCCTTGGGGAGCCATCGGCAGCGAGGTCTGACTATGGGACAAGTGTCCTCTGGCCTGTCCCTGACTTGGGCGGGCTGGGGAGAGGGGCAGAGGCCGCCAGGGGCTGGGGTCAGATGCAGACCCCGCCGCCACGGGCAAGTCCCCTTATCCCCGGCCGTGTGTGCCTACAGGCCCAGTGGGGACATCACCAGGGGACACGTGGCTGGTCTCGGTCAAGGTGCTTACTTCCCCAAGTCCCTTCTCAGAGGCCATGGGACAGCTGGGACCTGTGGCTCCCTGCTGCCCAGGGTGGTGGGTCGGGGGCTGGGCTCCCTGGAGGCCTGCTGTGGTCACTTACAGTCCCTGAGGAGCTCAGCGTCACGGCCCGCAGTCGGCGATGCCGGGGAGAGTAAATCCAGTACCTCCCATCGGTGAACTGGGCGGGCCGGGCGAGCGGGGGGGAAGAAGCAAACAGAGGACAGGATGAGGCAACGGAATCCGGCGGGGAGGTCAGGTGGGGAGGGCGCGGGGCAGGTAAGCCGATGGCCAAGCGGGAGGTGAGTCTGGGGGTGGCGGGGTCCCGCTCTGGCCCGCTACCTTCTCTGCTGCCTGCAGGGCCTGGCCACCCACTCAGGTGACAGGACCCAGACGCGCACATCGAACACGGCCCCGGGGCCGCCCCGCACACTGATCCGCAGAATGGGACACAAACCAAGCCCCCCGGGACGGGGAGATGACGGCGGGTGTGGGGACGCACACGCAGTGCACCTGTTACGACTCCAGGCCAGACAGAGGCCCCAAGACAGACAGCAGTGTGGTGTTAGCTAGGAGACAGCGGTGCGGCAGGCCCCCAGCTCACGGGACCCGGGGCGGGGGGAGAGACGAGATCAAAGGTCCGGGAGGGAGACAGGCAGGCCCCTCCACTGCACGAGGCCACTTGGCCACCCGGCACCCATCTCAGCCAGGCTCCCTGCCCAGCTAACCTGTCTACCTGTGGGAGATGCAGGGCGGGAGGCGACCCCCGGCTCTGGAAGAGAGGTCCCGGGTCCCCGGGTCCCCGGGGCAAGGCCCCTTCCTGCTGCGACAGACCCCACCTCCTCCAGGAGCAGCCGTGAGTCCTCGGCCACGAGGTTGGCAGCATGAAGCACACCTGTCCCACCTGCCCCTCGCCACAGTCCCCTTACCTCCCCGAGAACAGAACCCACCTGGCCGTACCCTCCACCCCCCTCCCAGCAGGAGAAGGGCCACGCAGCCTGCAGCCCTTAGCAGCCAGCCCCGGGGCTGCCCGGGACCTACGGGGCCCTGTGGGGCTTGGAGCTCGAGGACAGGGCAGTCCCCCTGACTTGGGGTGGCCTGGCCTGGAGGGCGCGGGGCAGGGCGTTCCCACAGCACGTGAGCGTGTGGGTGTAAACGCGTGCGAAGGCACACTGGGTGCGCGAGAGCGTGCGGAGGGGAGCGTTGACCCGTGAGTGCACGTCTGTGTCCACAGGAGTGCCTTGTGAGCGTGTGAGTGCGTCTGGTCGAGGGCCTGGCAACGTCGGGAGCTGCAGGGGACTTACAAAGTAGATGTCAGTGGCGGGCGTGTCCTCCTCATCCGAGGCCTGGCTGGCGGGCTCCGAGGCCTGGCTGGCCGTTTCTGCTTCGGCAGCAGCAGAGGCGCAGGCTGGGGAAGGCTCCACCCTGGGGACACAGGGACACGGGAGTCCTGGGGGAAGGGCTCTGGATGGCACCCACCTGCCCCAGCCCCCGCCGCAGGGTCCTGCCTGCCCCCTCCCCTCTCATCAGCGGGGCAGCACAGACTCGAAAGACTCAGGAGGCCAAATAAAACAGAACCTCCCCATCACTGCTGAGACCCAGGAGATAATCGGCCCTCCCGCGAACGGGTGAGCACACACCCGTGGGCGGGCAGGTCCCGGCGCCACCATCACTCCCCGTGCGACCCTGAGGGTCCTTTCCCGTCCGAGCCTCAGTTTCCCCATCTGTGGAGGAGGGACGCCGGGCACCCACCATGTTGGGTCAGAACCTCTTTCTCATCTTCACCGAGCACTTCCTCTGGGCCAGGCCCTTTCAGGAACCTCGCCTGAATTCACCCAGCGACCCTCCACTGGGGAGGGGACTGCCACCCTCCTGAGTTACAGACTGGAAAGTGAGGCGTGTCCTAAGCCGAGTGACCGGGGATGGATTCCAGCTCCTGAGCAGAATGACAGGCTCTGAGATGGGGGAGCACCTCTACCCTTGGAGGGATGGGCTGTTTTGGGGGCAAAGACCGAAAGACGCGTTATACTGTTAAGAATTCAGTTAAGGGCAAAAAAGCCACGGGTAGCAGAAACGGCTGTGTGTGCACACGGGTCTGTGCGTGTCAAATAAATTCTATTTTTTTTTTTTACTGTTTATTTGGTTTTTAATGTTTATTTTGAGAGAGAGAGAAATAGAGAGCGAGAGAGCGCGACATCAAACGTGAGAAGGGGGAGGGGCAGAGAATCCCAGGCAGGCTCTGAGCCATCCGAGCAGAGCCCGATGTGGGGCTTGATCTCACGAACCATGAGATCACGGCTTGAGCGGAGATCAAGAGCCAGCTGCTCAACTGAATGAGCCACCCAGGCGCCCCTCAAAATAAACTCTGGATGGCAAAGTGCAGCCTGGGAATGTGTGTCTGTGAGAGTGAAGTAAGGTCTCTCGAAACGCAATGGAAATTTTAAAAAGCACATAAAGCAGAAATCGTGACAAAAGCAAGAAAAATTTGATCACGATGCCAATTACAGGACCAAACACACCAAAGAGGAGAAATGAGGATGTGACGCAACTGAATGCCATCAATCGATACATCAGACGGGGCGGGCTCAGAACTTTCCATCCCTTCACAGAGAACACACGTTGTTCACACAGGTCCACTGACCTTAAACAATGAATTCTGTGGGGCACCTGGCTGGCTCAGTGGGTTGAGCATCCGACTTCGGCTTAGGTCGCGAGCTCACAGTTCATGAGTTCCAACCCCACATCGGAGTCTCTGCTCTCAGCGCAGAGCCCATTTCGGATCCTCTGTCCCCCCCTCTCTCTGCCCTTCCCCCGCTTGCATTCGCTCCCCCTCTCCCTCGAAATAAACAAACATTTAAAAAACGAAATCTGTATTTGAGCAGAAAGGCTAAATGTTTTTAAAACATACGTGGATTTTCTAGTCTGCTTCCTTCAACTTAAAGCTAAGATTAAGTACTGAAAATGTAAACAAGACAGTCTTCAAATACTCCAAAGTTGGGAGACACTCCTAAATAAACCTTGCAGCAGGGTCTCCATGGACGTGGGGGCGGATGGTTCTCTGGGGGCGTGCGGGGCAGGGCACGATTCTGGCCACAGGTGTCCCCAGACACCAGCCCCATGTCCTCTGGGGGCCAAGAGCCACTGCCTCGGGTCAGAGAGGACGTGAGAAGCGAAATGACACGCTTCGGCAGGCCAGTATAGAAGAGCCGCTTCTCGCTGAGCCCACGGACGGCGGCATCAGCGCCGGGTGGCCCACGCGCGGCCGGGAGCGCCTCCTTGTCTGAGACACACGGGAGCCTGAACCCCCGTCTGCGCCGGAGGAGCAGGAACGCGCACGGAAACAAACCAGGAGTCCGTGAATCGGGCACACGACACGATGGGGGAAGCGGGCTGAGCCCAGAAGGCTCCCTGGGGAGCCGGGGCCCCACTCCTGCCAGCTCGGGGCTCCAGGCTGGGGACCCCAGGGGCTGAGGAAGAATCCCAGGACTGGCGCACAGCCGGCGGCTCTGCCGGAGACCCGAGGCGCCGGAGGAGCCCCTGCGCGGATCGCCCACTTCCCGCTGCCCGCACCGCCCCTTCCAGGGCCCCACTCCCGGCCCCAGAACGCGGACTCCATTACCCAGCCTGCCTCGGGGGCCAGCTGGCCACGTGGCCACGCTCAGCCAATGGGATCAGAGCAGAAGCTGAGCGCAGAGTCGGGCAACGGGACGGCCGCCGCCGGCCCGCTGGCTGGTGACTCACCCCGCGTCTTCCTCCTTGGGGACCACGATCTCCACGCTGCACGCGGACTCCACCTGCACCGTGACCTGCTGCAGGTCCTCCTCCACGTGTGTCTCCTCTTGGGACCTGGAGGCAGTGGGAAGCTGCACCTCACGCTCTCTCTCCTCACCGGAACTCTGCCGCCCGGGGGTGGGGGTGGGGGTGCACCAGGCAAGCTCCAGGCCGGTGGATCTCCAGTCCTGGTGGGAGGCTGGGAGCCTCCGTGGGGTGCTCCCTCTGGGTGCCACCTGACCAGCGCCCTGAGCTGGCCCAGCTCACCCCTGCGGTCTGCAAGGGGGCAGGGACTGACCGTGACCCCAGTACCAGCAGGGGAATAATGTGTGAATCGTGGCCTGGATCCTGCCCACCCTCCTGGGGGTAGCTGGGCCCTGGCCTGGAGGTGGGGTGGTTCCAGGGGGTTCAACGATCCAGGCCCCTGATGTAGATGCGTCAGAACATGTGGGCAGCCAGGAACGGACAATGTCTCCGCAGAGCAACACCAGAGAGCAAAAAGGTTGTGGAGGCTGGAGGGGGCAGCTGGACAGAGGGAAACGCTTTCCACCGAAAGTGCTTTATGCCATAACTTTCTCTCCAACTGGCAGGAATATTTAACCCCCAAACTAAGGAAGGCAAGCCCTACAGGTCGCGTTGTAAGATCCAGCAAGAGGAACCACCCAAGTGCCCCCCGGGGGGGGGGGGGAGGTTGGGGGGGGGCAGGCGAAGCCCTGTGAGGTGGAAGAGAAGCAGCGGGGGCTCCACGTGCTCACAGCCGGCCTTGACCTGTAAGTGTGCACAGCAAGGGGCCTGGGGTGGCACAGGCCTCTGCTTGTGTCAAGACGAAGGCAGAAACAGGCCGTGTGTACGTTTTCTCATAAGCTCATAATGTAGTTCCAGAAAGAGACAAAAAAACAAAAGACCCGTCCAGGGGTTGCCCCCATGGAAGGGAACGGGCAGGGGGCAGGGGGGGCATTCACCACATTCTCTTTTGTACCCCTTAGAATAAAAACTGATAAAATTAAAAGATCAACAAACAGGTGCAGGGAAGGGAGTGGGAGGGTGGAAAGAATTACAGAGTGACTCAAGATTCTGTGCAGTTCTAGGCCCTAACTCAAATCCGCGCCCAGGCAAGTGGTCAGAGAGCTGGGGCTCTGGGCGGGAAGGCAGACGGGGTGCGAGGGGGAGGGGAGGAGAGAGGAAAGGCCTTGCGGGGAGACCGTGGGGTCAGGTGGGGAGAAGCTGGGGTCTCATCTCACCGGCCATCCTGTCCGGAAGACTGTGTGCGCCGCCTGCAGAGAGACGCAAGCAGGTGGAACCGGTGGCGGGAGGCAGCCCGCCCCACCCGGTACGGGATGTGGCCACGCCCCCGCCTCGCGGAGGGAGACGCCCCCGGCCCCTCACCGGTACCGTGGCTGCTCGGAGGTCTCCGAGGGAGATCGCTCTGGGATGGAGAGGGACGTGGAAGACAGGGTTGTGGCGATGGAGGCGGTGGTGGCCTCCTCAAAGGATGGCGGCGTGCAGGGCAGGAGGTCGGGCCGGCCTGTGGGGAGGAGGCTGTGGGCGCCTGCAGGAGCCGGGCCCCCAGCGCCACCTGTGGCTCGGCTCACCTTCTGCACCCATGCCCCACCCCCACCTGCCACCCAACACTACGTCCTGCTGGCCAGCTTTAAGAGGGCAAATGCATTCCAATTTACCCCTGGCACAACAGCTTCCAGCAGCCCACCCGTCCTGGAGGCCCACAGGTCCCGCTCCACCTGCCCACCTCCTCGCTCACTCTGCTGCGACCACACAGGCCTCTCACTGTTCCTCCAACGCGCCAGGCCTACTACTGCCCCGGGGCCTTTGCACATGCAGTCTTTCCCTTCCTTGATGCTATTCCCCCAGACCCTCCCTGTCTGGCATCTTTGACTCCTTAACCCTGGAAACTGGGAGGGACCTTCCAAAACACCATGCCCAACCCCATCAAGTGCTTCATCCCTCTGGGTGTCTGCACGCCTGGTGATGGGGTGGGGTCACCTCTCCCTCCGCAGCACTCCCCAGAGGGCTGTAGATCTCAGACTGGGATGGGGGCGGGGTGACTGTGACCCAGGCCCTTCCCATCCAAGTACCAGCTTCAGGGAACCTTTCCTCACACTGGGGTGCTCCCTGCGTCCCCTCCCCTCTCGGCCCCCCAGGGACGTCGTCTTTCCCCAGCAGCCCCCTGATCTCTCCTGTCACTGAGGCGCCCGCTCCCCAGCCTGCCCGGTCACCTTCGTCCTCCAGCGTGGGGTAGCTGCGGGCCCCCCGAAGGTCATACTGGGCATCTTCCCGCTCGCTGGGGATCTGGCTGGCCGAGAAGGCGGCCGTGGGCCCCAGGGGCTTGACAGCCAATGACGCACCACGGCCCTTCTTGGACGGGGAGGACTTCAGGGCTGTGGAGAGAGGCGCACTGGCGCTCAGGGGCCGCCTGGGAGCCCCCGGCAACCCTGAGGCAGGGGCCCCCAGCCCCCATCCCTCCTTTGCACGGAAGCCTGCTCGCCACCCCCTCGAGGCCCGCTGCCTGCACACATGGCCCCCGCTGCCCGGCCTCCAGCCCGGCCCTCAAGCCTGGGCAACGAGCCGCTGTCTTTGTGGAGAAAACCCTGCCCTGCCTTCTACCCGGCTCTGCCTCGGGAGGCACCAGGAGGCCCCCTTGTCGCAGCCCGCCCTGGCTGTGGCCTCCACTTTCAGACAGGAAACAGAAGGCCTTGGCGCGTGCAGGGCTCAGCACCAAGGGCCTGGTCCAACCCGGGATGAGTGGCCTGTGGAACGCGGCTCAGCCCACCAGCCCCCGTCACGGTGTCCTCCCCGTCCCTGCTGCGAGCTCTGGCCCTGGGACGGCCGGCACAAACCCCAGCACACAGTATGTGCTCAATTCGCCTTGTGAACAGCCCTCCGGTACCTGGAGGCTGGTGAGCCCCCCGGACCACAGTGAGAATGACACCCCAGGAGAGGTTCCAAGGCGTGGCACGCGGACGCCGATGAACAACCCACTCTCAGGAGACAATCCCACTGCCGTCAATTTCAAGCTCCCAGCTAGATGTCACTGAACGTGGCGTTGCGTTGGCTCGACGAGCCGGCTCCAGGTGACCAAGCTGGGTCACGGCCCACACAGGCCTGGCCCAGGCCAGGAGAGCAAGTAGGCACTGGGCACTGAACACCTACTGTGTGCCAGGCCCCAGCCTAGACACTGGGGACACAGAGCGACCAAGGCTGACGAGAACGCTGCCTTCTGGGGACACAGGGTGCGGGGGGCAGATGGCGGACAGACACACGGGGAGAAAGGCCCCTTCTGGGATGTGTGCCGGGATCTGGGACTCGAGGCCCAACAGACACCCAGGGGGCAAGAGCCGCCTCTGTCCTGCGTCCTCCTCGACAATGCCGGGTCCCGGCTGCTGACCGGCCGCCTCCGCGTCCACCAAGGTGGTTTCCTCGGTGACGGCACGAGGCTGCAAGTGGTCCCCCTCAACGTGCACCGGTGCAGGGTCAAGCCCAGCTGCTGCGTGTGTACAGATGGGGAAACCGAGGCACAGAGCGGGGCATCACTTGCTGGAGGTCACCCCGGCAGGAGGCGGTGCTGCAGCCAGGACTCGAGCTCAGACGGTGGGCCCCAGGCCCTGCGCTGGGCCCCGTGAGCGTGGTGCCCTGACCCTCCCGTTCTCTGGACCGAGTCCCTGACCGAGGCCCAAGGATGGCCGAGTAGCGGGAGGTGACCCTGTGGGCTCGCTCGGCTCTTGGCCGCCCCTGCCTCCCGTCTCTGCACCCCAGGGGCCCTCCTGCCCAAAGTGCCTGGGAGGCTCACAGGAGTTCTTCCGGAAAACCGTGTTGCTCATGAACTTGAAGAAGCGCTCTGCGTAGAAGCTGGGCCGGTGGACAGAGACGGTGTCCTGGGAAGCGAAACAAGGGCCCGAGGGCAGAAGGGCGTGAGTGCCGTGGTCCCACCAGGAGCTCCCCGGGTCCCGCGGGACAGCCCAGGGCACAGGCGGGCGGCGGGGCAAAGCCGCCCACGTGGGGAGGGGACTGGATCCCCAGCATGGGGCTTCCTGGACGGACCCGGGGGTCAGGTGACGGTGGCAGAGGGCAGGGTGGGAGGGAGACTCTGCCATCATAAACCCGTCTGTATTTCTAATCCTTTGAACCATGGGAAGCGACAGCTACTCAAAGAGGTAGACGAATGAACGTCGAAACACGGAAACCAGAGCAATTCTCCGAGAGCGAGTCTCAACAAAGAACGGCTGGACGCCTGTTTTGTGAGGGACGGTTGGTGGCGCACAGCCACGCCTCAGGTGGGGACAGGCGGCCGCTGGTGTCCCTCGGTCCCACACCCCAGTGTGGGGTGATGCCGGGCTCCCCTCTAAGCTTGTCTCCTCGTCTGCGCGACAGGGAGGCTAGAGGCTGCCACTCTCGCCGGACGCGACGGCACCCCGCCCCCCCCGGGCCAGGACCCCCCCCCCCCCGGGGGTGACGACCACAGGTGCCCCCAGACAGGGCCTGGGTCCTCCTCCTGCTGTAACGTAACAGAACCCACAGGGGACTCGCGGCCTCCGGGGTGAAAGCGACACGTCCCATCCTCGCTGCAGAGGCGTGACCGCGTTGTGGCAGGTGGTGGGGGAGACGAGGCAGTGACAACTTCCGCGCCCTCCTCTGCCCGGAGTGCCCTGTGGGGGGCCAGCCGCGTGGGCCACGCCCAGGAGTGTGCAGCGCCAGGCAGAAGCAGCCGGCCCTGGACTCCAGGGGCCACGCCACCTGCCCCAGGCCGTTCCCGCCTGTATGGCTACGCTGACCACCGTCTGGGCCCCCAGACCCGAGCAGCCTCGGTAGGGCTTACAGTGCTTCCGGCTGCCATGGCTTCGTGACGCCGTGAGAGGGTTCGTGCCCCCTGGCCCTTCTTGGTGCACTTTCTGGAAGCTCCCATCTGGACCGTCCAAACACTCTCGGAGGGGTGTTGGGGGCCGGCTGGGGTTCGGGATTTTACAGACCGCACGCACGCAGACAGCCCTTAGCGTTTCAGTAAGAATCGGTCTGAAGCGAGCCACGGGAGGACAGGCGTGCATCGAGGCCCCAGCCAGCTCGTCAGCCCAACCGGACCGGGGTGCTAGGGCTGCTGTCGCAGGTGCACCCTGTTTGGTCCCCAACAGCTGGCCTGCCCCGTGGGTGTGGCCAGTGCCCGAGCCCCCTCCGTCTTGCGCGTTTCCAGACTGCTCTTTGCCTAGCTGGCCCCTGACTCTCCCGGTCGGGCGGTCTTTGGGAATCCTCCCAGCTCAGCTTGGGCGTCCTCTCCTCCAAGAAGCCCTTCCGTGCCCCTCACCAGTGGCTCAGACGCCACTGCCGGACGGCCTACAGCTAGCTGCCTGCCCTCTCCCGTCTTGACCCGGACGCCTTGGCCTGTGACTGCCGGGGCACACGGCCGCCCCCACGGGACACTGGCCCCGGGAGACCATCACGTCTGTGGACTGACGCGTGAAGACACAATGCTCACCCCGTCGTGGACAAGAGCCTTCCAGGTGTGTTCCAGCTTCTTGATGAACCTGCAGAGAAAACGAGTGAACCAAAGTGGTCCTCTAGTGGGGCGGTCCCGCCCCCAGGGGACGCTGGGCCATGTCTGGGGACTGGGTGTGCTCCTGGCACCAAGTGGGTGGGAGGGCCCTGGTCCAGAGGAACTGAGACGCCTCAGCCAGAGGCCACCTCCCTCTTTGGCGCCCTCTGTTCCCCTCCCCGCCTGCCGGTGGCTCCTACCGCTGCTACTCTTAGAGAGGAAGTGAAAAGGCCGTGGCGCTTGGCCCTCGGTGGGGGCATATGGCAGCACCCCCAGAGTACGGCCTTCCTCTCTCATGGCCCAGGCTGAGCCCGGGTCCTCTCTGCTGGAATCAGTGGCCTGCACTGTGGCTCTAACTAGATCCCTGCACACCTGGGCTGGGGAGAACGTTGCCTCCTCCAGGCAGCCTTCCTGGACACCCCCTAGTCTATGGGGCGGGGGAAGGGTCCTCTTCTCAGCACCCACCCCCGTGGGACACCCCTGCCCCAGGATAGGCTTGTGGCTGCCTGACACACGCTGGCCCACCCTCTTTGCCCCCACTCAAGAGCCTCCGCAGAAACCCTGGTCTGACACCTCCAAAGTTTCCCCGGGCGCCTGCGTGGCTCAGCTGGTTAAGCGCCCCACTCTTGACTTCAGCTCAGGTCACGATCTCACGGTTTGTGAATTTGAGCCCCGAGTTGGGCTCTGTGCCGACAGCCTGGAGCCTGTTTGGGATTCTCTCTCTGCCTCTTCCCTGCTCACTCTATCTCTCAAAATTAATAAGTGAACGTTAAAGCTCTCCACTCCTGCTCTAAACCCAGAGAGATGTCCCCATGGAAGACATCTGCCCCTGAGTCGGAAAACAACAGGCTGCGAATACTAGCGTTTGACGGGCAGGAGCCCAGTTTCATATTTAGGAAAAAAATCACCCAGGGGCTTTTTTAGGAAAAAAGCCACCCAGTGGGCTTCCTGAGGGAGTGGACATGGGAAATGGGGACCGCCACGCCCAGGGTCCCCTCTGTCCTGTCGGGAACGTGCATAACGAACGCATTCCGCTCTCAGGATGGAAAACTAAGACTAAGAAACGCTCGTCACCAAGACCTCATGCGGGTCAAGGCATGGGTAACGAGGTGGCCCACACCCCAGCTTTTAAACCGCAGGTGAGGGGCGCCTGGGTGGCGCAGTCGGTTAAGCGTCCGACTTCAGCCAGGTCACGATCTCGCGGTCTGTGAGTTCGAGCCCCGCGTCGGGCTCTGGGCTGATGGCTCAGAGCCTGGAGCCTGTTTCCGATTCTGTGTCTCCCTCTCTCTCTGCCCCTCCCCCGTTCATGCTCTGTCTCTCTCTGTCCCAAAAATAAATAAAAATGTTGAAAAAAAAATTTTTTAAACCGCAGGTGAGGCTGGGGTATCTGTTCCTTCGGCTCTGCCACACTTGAGACCCCACGATATGGGGCCCCAGCCACGAACATTTACTCCTGCCCATCGTAGGAGCTGTCCCGAGATGCTGTGCTCTGCGGCCACGGGCGCTTCTGTCCTGCGCACTTTAGCCCGGCACCGGGCACACGGTCGGCGCTCAGCAGACAGGGCCGGACCGGCGGGTGACACCCCACCCACCCCGCATGCCCCACGCCAGCCCCAACCCCGAAGGTGGAGTCACCCAGTCGGGGACCGAACGCCTCCCTCGAGGCCTCAGGGGCCGGCAGCGAATCAGGAGCCTTCCCGGGGCCGAGGAGGCTTTGTCTGCGGGCAGCAGGTGCACCGCTTCCGTGGGCAAGTGAGGGGGGCAGGGGGCACCCACCTGTACGACTGCAGAATGTCAATGATGCCAATATGCAGCAAAAGGCGCTCCCCTCGGCCGTTCACGGCGGGAATCCCGCCCATCCTGGGGAGAGAGGGCGGGAGCGCGGTCAACACCCCACAGGGCCACACCGCTGTGGGCAGGGGCGGGGGGACAGGAGCGCCATCAACACCCCACAGAGCCACACCGCTGGCGGGGGCGGCGTGGGGGGCCCAGAGCCCGGCCTCGGAGAAGCTGAAGGAGCCAGAGCCCATGTGCTCCTGTAGGCGGCAGCTCGGCTGGGGCCGAGCTGCCGTCAGACACGCGAGGCTGGAGGCTGGCGAGGGGTCTGGCCCCCACACACCCGTGCGCACGCACACGCACACGCTCACCCCGGGCGGGGCCCCCAGTGCTTCTGGGTCCCGTCTGGGGAGTTAGTCGCTTCACTCAGCCCCAGGCCCACACGTGCCCGGCCCGGCATGGTTAGTGAGGCCACACGACGCAGCGAATGTCCTCAAGTCCCCATGACCCCAGACCCGCCAGGCCCGGGCCCTGCAGGCTCCGCGCACCGCACTCCACGCACTGCCCAGCTCACCTGCGCACCCCGCCATCCCGCCAGGCCTGGCACAGACCCTACAAACGCCAACACAGTGGAGGTCGGGCCAAGCCACCAGACCTCTGCAGGTGTCGCTCCTCCCGCCCCCACCGCCTCGCCTGGTCGGGGCGTCAGGGCTCCTCCCCCGTCCTCCCCAGCTGTGAGCCCCCGTCTCCCTCGCGGGCGCTGGGGGGTTATGCCCCCCTCCTCCAGGGCCCCCGTGCTGGTTCCCGGCACGCTCAGTCTCGACACCCTGTCTACGGAAGCCGTTCCCACCGGGGTACTGTCCTCCTCAAGCACTCGACGATGTCTGGAGACGTCTGAGGCCCTCACGACTGGGGGTGTCCTGGCATGGGGGGGGGGCCCCTCCCAGGGGGGGGGGGCCAGGGATGCTGCTCTGGCCTACAGCACTCAGGACGCCCCAGAGAACGACCCGGCCCAGCGTGCACAGTGCCGGGGGCGGGGCGGACACCCCACGAATCTGTCTCGGGCAGAGGGCACAGCCCTCTCTGAGACTGTGACCTCGGCCTCCACCGCCAGGGCCTGTTCTCCCCGGGGCTCTGGGTTCGGCCCCCTGCTGTAGATGTTGCCTCGTCCCCAGCACTCAACACCCCTACGGCTTTGCTTCAGATGGTGGCGCTTTAACCCGTTCTGGGGTCCGGCAGGGGGAGGGGGCATCTGTGTTTCCCACACGGATGGCCACGGGCCTCAGTCCGCAGACAGACTGAGCCGGAACGCCCCGGTCATCACCCGGCCGGGGAGCTGTGGTCCACCTGTGACCCTCGCGAGGCCTGGCGGGCAGACTCCGCTGCTCCGATTCACCAACCAGGAACCAGCCACACGCGGGCTTCTGGACGCGCCTGCTCCTCGTCTCTTGCCCTCGCGGCCAACTTTCCCTGCCCGCCTCACACCCGAGGGCCCCACAGCCCCGGGTCACCTACGTGTCATCTGACTCGATGGCCTCCCCGCGCGCGGCCCCGCCCTGGATGGACTCCATGGCCGTGGAGTAGAGGGCCTTCTGCCCCAGCGGCCGCTTCTCGTCCGCGGTGCTCTGGGCGCCCTCGGCCTGCCGCTCCCGCTCCTGCTGGTCGATGTTGTGCACGCCCAGGAGCAGGCTGTAGTCCATGATCTTGAAGCTCTCCAGCACCTGCCGGGGGTGGGGTCGACAGGTCACGCTCCCGGTGCCCGGCCCCCCACAACCCCGAGCTGCATCGGGGGGGGGTCTGTGCCCACTCGGTCCCCACAGCCTCGCAGAGGCCTGTCCTGACCCCCATTTCACGGATGGCCAGGAGTCCAAGGGGTCAGGGGCAAGGGGCCAGGCCACGTGGCAGGCAATGGGACCCGAGGCGTGGCATCCACACAGGGGCCAGGGTGTTTCCTTCCTCCTGACAGAGTCCAGCCGCTCTGCACACAAAACCCGCTCCTGGCCCCCAGGGCTCTGACACCTGGGCTCAGGGAAGCCCGAGGTCCTGAGAGGTCTGGGGGGGGGTCCTCGGGCAAGGTCATGCAAAGTTTTCCAAGAGGCCTAGGAGCCAGGGGTGGTGGGCCTGGGGGCCTGGGGTTTCGAGCCTGCTCCCCGAGACTAGATGAGATCTCTAGTCCAGGGGAGCAGGCTCGAAACCCCCCCAGGTCACAGGGGGTGGAGGAGACCACGAGGACAAGCGGGGGCAAAGGGGTCCGTGGGCCTGGGGCTCACGCTCTACTCGCTTCCACCAGCGTCCCCGTTTCACAGACGGGACAACAGAGGCCCAGAGAGGCGAGGGACCCTGAACTGCCCCCCCCCCCCCCAGCCCCACGCACTCTGCTCTGGGCTCCTCCCCTGCACCGGGGCCGTGTGGGTGTGGCGGCCTCACCAGGCAGTCCCGCTGCAGCGTCTTGACAAGGGCGGAGAAGGTGTCTGCGTCCAGCAGGAGCCCCTCGGGCATGTCCTGGATGAAGTCCAGATCCTTGTAGGTGGGAATGCTCTTCTCCTTCTCCTTCTTGCTGGCTCGCCGCTTGTACGTGGAGCCCTTGAGGTCGAACTTGAGGTGCATCTTGACAACGCGCGGCAGGATGTTGTTCATGACCACCACGCGGATGTTCTTGCCGCCCGACTGCACGCAGTACAGCCCGTAAAACTTGGGCAGCAGCGTCCGTGGGTTCTGGTTGAGGTTCTGGGAGGCGAAGGAGGAGGACAGGGCTGGAGGACAGTCGCCACGGCCGCCGTCACCGGCACACTCTGTGCAGGGCCACCTCCAGGAAGCCCTCCCTGACCACCACCCGCCTGGGCCAGCCCCGCACTCTGCCCTCCCAGAGAGCTGACGTTAGCCAGGTTCCAGCAGATGAGATCCTCCGGGTGTCAGGGGCTGGCTTCCCCCCAGGCCAGACCCAGGTGCCCCACCTCCCCAGCCTGGGGTGACACGGGGTCACGGCTTCCAGGCACAGTCCAGGACAAGGGCTGGCAAACTCTGAATACGGGACCAAGTCCAACTACCCACTCGTTCTCACGTGGCCAGCGGTTAAGCTATGAATGGCTTTGCGTTGTTAAAAAAGTTGGGTTGGGGCGCCTGGGTGGTGCAGTCGGTTAAGCGTCCGACTTCAGCCAGGTCACGATCTCGCGGTCCGTGAGTTCGAGCCCCGCGTCGGGCTCTGGGCTGATGGCTCAGAGCCTGGAGCCTGTTTCGGATTCTGTGTCTCCCTCTCTCTCTGCCCCTCCCCCGTTCATGCTCTGTCTCTCTCTGTCCCAAAAATAAATAAATGTTGAAAAAAAAAAATTAAAAAAAAAAAAAAAA